TTATTTCTAATATTAATTCTGACAATAATTGCAAGAATCACTAATTTTTGGATGTGTCACAAACAAACAATGTACTAATATGAAATGATCACAGAAGCAGGGCGGGTATGCGTGCATGCGTTGTTTTCTTGGGCTAAATAAGCCTACTTATACAAATTATATCAATATTGATTGTTTTCGCACAAAGACGATTATCCAGAAATCAAAGTGAGCATATCCTAACCTTTTTTTAAAAAAAGCTTTTTTTTTTATTGTATATTGTAACAGATAGTAAAATGCGCATGTGAAAAATGTTTATTTGCATATTTTATGTTGCAGGTTTTTCTGCTAGCCAAATGTTTTAGATCGCCAAACGCTCCAAACATCTTCAATTATGAATATTCTATCAGGTGTTGCTATGTTGTATACTTTCCATGATATGGGTGAAAATTTGGTTAAAATGTGTACGAACAATGATATATTAACACTACCGGGACCCAGATGTTAGTTAGTCTACCAATATTTAATTACTGTAGAATACTTTATTTTCGCTTGGAATTTATTTTCGCTATTTTCTCTGAAAGGATGATTCCGTGAAAATAAAATCCAGCGAATATACTTTTTTTCCTATATTTCACATTAAACTCACAAAAAATCAGTAAAAATAAATTCCATACAAAACGCACAAAAAGCCTTTTCAGCGAAAATTATTTCCAGCGAAAATAAAGTATTCCACAGTATATAATAATTATAATTAGTGCAGTTAAATTTAATTGTGAATTATCAATAATTTATAAGATAAAGGCATTGGTATGAGATGAAGTTCTCTTAGAAAAATTTTAAGTAAATTAGTGTTGCTCTCTGGTACATTTTGTATTTAGATTGATCGAAATGATTTGAACTTGGGATAGTTATTTTTATACTTTTTAGCTCCGCTGTCGACTTTGTTGAGCGGAGCTTATCATATGAGTGATTGTCCGTCGTCGTCCGTGTCAATGTTTTACTTTTTTGACTTCTTCTTGAAAACTATAAGCCTGAATGCTTTGATACTTGGTGTATATGTACCTTGGGTAGACCTCACTCAGATTTGTTCATTTTGTAATGATATCTTCAATTCTCTAATTTTGGTGAATATTTTTGCAATTTTTGGTAAAAAGTGATATTTTCAACTTCTTGTTAAAAACCGCAAGTCTGATTGCTTTGATATTACTATTTATAGGTACTACATGTGGACCTCTCTCAGATTTGTTCATTTTGTAATGATATCTTCAATTCTCTAATTTTGGTGAATATTTTTGTCATTTTTGGTAAAAAGTGATATTTTCGACTTCTTGTTAAAAACCACAAGTCCAATTGCTTTGATATTACATATATAGGTACCGGTACTACATGTGGACCTCTCTCAGATTTGTTCATTTTGTGATGATTTCTTCAATTCTCTAACTTTGATAAATATTTTTGTAATTTTTGGTAAAAAGTGATTATTTCGGCTTCTTGTTGAAAATCGTAAGTCTGATTGTTTTTATATTACATATATAGGTACTACATGTGGACCTCTTTCAGATTTGTTAATTTCGTGATGATATCTTTAATTATGTAATTTTGATGATTGTTTTTGTCATTTTTGGTGAAAAGTGATATTTTTAAATTTTTGTTGAAAACAGCAAGTCCCATTGCTTTGATACTTTACATATTGTTCATTTTCTAATGATATCTTCTGTTCTTTAATTGAAATGTGCATTGCTAACAGCGGAGCTATCTCAGCCGACAGGCTGCTTATTAATGATTTTGTTTGATTTTGTATAAATTATTTTTATATTTCATTTACTGTAACATCTTTGTTTGTTATCCTTCCATCTTAAATGTAAATTTTTGTTGTGCTAGACTCTTGTGCTAGCTTTATATAGCCGCATCTTATCAGAGCTGAAATATTGCTCTTCTACGGTTGTCGCCAAGCACGGCCCGAAGTTCGCCCTCGTTAGTTTACAGTAAAGCTGAAATAGAGCCTATGACTAGGATGTTCTCATTTATGTCATACTGTAAAATGACTAATTTTCACTGGGTTTAAACTTCACTGATTTACCATTTCAGGCATATTCAGTGGGTTTTAAATTAACGATTTTATCATTTAGATAATGTGTTCTATGCTAAATTTTACATATTCACTGGGTCTTAATTTAGCGCATTTTCCAGTCAGCGAAATAAGCAAAATTAAAACCCAGTGAATAATTAATCCTTTTACAGTATCATGGATCTGTCGTATTGGAGTTCAAGCCAAGAATTTGTTGGAACGAAGTCGAATTGATGCTGCATGTGTTTGTTTATATGGTCATTTTTGCTGGCTCAAGTTAATAATTAATTTGTCAATATATAATAAGTATATTCCTAACAGTTATGTAATGAATATTCAAAATAAATTATTTTATTTCTCTTCATTTTTTTTTTTTTTAAGTTTATGGGACAAGCTGTATTGGGACCAAATGCATTTGTGTGAGTACAATTCCTTAATTGTTTTCTTCTAATGATGTAATCATGAATTATGGATATGAGCTTTTCTTTATAAAAATGTGATTTTAAATTGTCTTGGGTGATCAGTGGGATCCAAGAGCAAATCACCATAGTTGCCTTATCTATGTTTTATAACACCTAGTATAAGTTTGTTTCTCTAAATGTATAAAATAAAATTTATTGATATTACTAGCACTGTACCTAGGCATATAGTGAGTGGAATGTCACATAGATGTCTGTGACATCCCATAGTTTGTGATATTTACATAAATCTGAATGTAATGAGATATTACTAGCACTGTGCATGTATGTAAATGTGTTGAAATGGGCGTAGTGCGAGTGGTTAGTGCTAGTGGCAGTAATCTGAAAAAGTACTAGATCTAGTGCTAAAATGACACTAGATCTAGCGCTAAAATGACACTAGATCTAGTGCTAAAATGACACTACCCCGGTAGATCTAATGCTAAAATGACACTAGATCTAGTGCTAAAATGGCACTAGATCTAGTGCTAAAATGACACTAGATCTAGCGCTAAAATGACACTAGATCTAGCGCTAAAATGGCATTAGATCTAGTGTTTAAATGTGCACTAGATCTAGCGCTAAAATGACACTAGATCTAGCGCTAAAATTACACTAGATCTAGTGTTAAAATAACACTAGATCTAGCGCTAAAATGACACTAGATCTTGTGTTAAAATGACACTAGATCTCACGCTAAAATGACACTAGATCTAGCGCTAAAATGACACTAGATCTAGTTTTAAAATGTGCACTAGATCTAGTGTTAAAATGTGCACATTGCAAGTGGCATTGATCATAATTTCATTATCGAAGATCTATTTTCATTAAGTGTGGCGCCGACCAGAAATAAAACGGCACATCAGCGATTTAAAAAAAAAATCAAAGCTGAATTCCACCATTTACATAAAGTTTACATTCGCCAAAGTTGAAAACACAAACTTCCACACAATACCTTTTCATACAGTATATCTATTCACAATTTGTAAAAATTGCGAAGTTCGACCTGCATTTTCATTGTTCATGAAGCTAGTTTCCCGGCCGATCGCGTTGATTCAAAGGTCTATTACGACAAACGTGGACAATGACATTCTCAATTTTCCCACTGTAGCACATTTCCAATAAATGAAAGATACAACAATTTTACATAAATATTAATTTATTTTCAGAGAATTACGAGATGTCTTGACGTTGTTGACAACGCGATATCAATGCCACTCGCACTGTGTACATTTTAGCATCAGATCTAGTGGTTTTTCGGATTAGTGCTACTAGCACTAACCACTCGCACTATGTCCATTTCAACACATTTACATACCTCCACTGTGGATAGGCCTAGTGCCTAGTGAGTGAAATGTCACATAGATGTCTGTGACATCCCATATGTGATATTTGCATAAGTCTGAATATGCAATGAGATATATACTAGCACTGTGCCTAGGCATATAGTGAGTGAAATGCCACATATGTCCGATATTCCATAGTTCCTTCATGGCTAGGCATATGTGTGCTACCTTGATTCTCATTACTATTTAGTACCCACGAATACGAAAAATGGTTGAATGTTGTCATCCATATATTTTTTTTTTCAATCAGGAAAAACAACTATAATCTGTTGAGAAAAATCCAGTATGAAGACTCAGCTGTGTATGTCCCGTTTGAACCATTTACTGGTCCTGAAATGTCACCAGAGGATGGATGTCCAGTTGATCTGGAAAAATTCATCAATGCCGAAGAGACTGCGACTGAAGGTTTTCAATTTTGTACTGTCTCTAATTATTACAAAGCATACAGGTGGGTGTCAGTAACTGTATTTATTTATTTATGCATGTGTGTGTACCTTGTGAAGGGTTGTGTTTGACGTAATGAATGTTATGATAATGGGGAGTTGTTTTAAGTCATTTATAGGGCGGTAGTAGTCACGCTGCGCTGCGCATGAGCGACATTTGTGTTGATAAATATTGATTTACCCACAATCCAATGTGCTCTTCTAATGGAATCACAAGTATGAGGTTTGACCTGGGCGTCACTTGCATTGATTACCTCCGGTGAATCCTTCGATACCTTAAATTAAAGCTCGGCTTGTACTCGTTGATCTTCACAACAGTCAAAGTCGCCATCTTTGTTTATATGAGAGCCATATATATCGCGCATGCATGGCGCAATGACTATCTTTAAATTTGTCTCTAAAAAGTGCACATTTGTCACAATGAGTAAATTAACCTGTTTAATTTTGTGAATTTTGAGAATGAAAATCATGAAATTTTGTCAGAAAACTTGAACTGGTAAATATGGTGCTAGATAATTAACAGCTGTTAATCTGAGTTACCTGATGATAACATGCATGCTGGGATTTTGCTGAATCACAGTCATTTCTAATAAACATTGGAGGGCTAGCTGTAATACATGAGGATTTAACTAATATTTTTCATGGGATAGTTTGCTTATTGTTCTTCATAACTGCCTGCATTGTATATTCTCGGAAGTGGACATCCAGGCTTTTTTCACCACCTAGCAATCATCATTGGTAAAAAAAAACTTAAGGAAACTGTATTTTGGGCTAGTTGTTGAATAATGTAACAAGACTATTTTTACATGTGCAATATACAATGTATATCAAATTGCTTTGACTTTTGACTGTTTCACAGTAGCAGCTTGCGCAGAGCACATAGAAATACACTGTATAGTGGTGTGCATCTGAGCAACATAGAATGTTCTGTGATGTGCATCTGAGCAACATAGAATGTTCTGTGATGTGCATCTTAGCAACATAGAATGTTCTGTGATGTGCATCTTAGCAACATAGAATGTTCTGTGATGTGCATCTGAGCAACATAGAATGTTCTGTGATGTGCATCTGAGCAACATAGAATGTTCTGTGATGTGCATC